GATTGAGGGCAAGACATTATCCTTCTCTGAGCCTGTTTTCTCCTTACCCAAATAGATGCCTGTTGTGTCAGGATTATAAGGAGCATATTGGCGAACGTATAAGCAAGGGCTCGGAAGAATGGCCAGTGATGGGTGGACACCCAAAAAACAAAGGTGTGTACTAGATTTTTGTCTCGGCACACATGACCACGCTGTGACGTCTGGGTCATGCCCCACTCTGGCTCAGTGATCAAGCACACAGCTGAAATGGGCTCAGAGGGAGAGAGAATCCCACACATAGGAGGAGGGAGCGTTGGCAAGGCCAGCCGGGAAGAGACCCAGAAAGGGTGCCGGAGAGGGTTCAGGTTTCAGATTTCCAGTGGACTTTTTTTGGACACAGTGACCGGCTGCAATACAGATTCCAGGGGAGGAGTTTGCCTGCAGGAGCTGACAACTTTATGAGTTCGTCAATATTTGAAGAGGGGGTGGAGACTGTAAAGGGCGAAGATTAAGAGGCAAACTGAGTCACAAGGTGTGACAGTGACCACCACCGAAAGTACGTATGGCCAAGAAGAGCTCTCTTCTTAGTGAACCCCCATCAGGGGGACACCAGGAAGTAAATTCTTCCACCAAAAAGTTCGTCCTTCTCAACGCTCAGGACCCCGAGTTTGGACTAATGCCCTGCAGTCACCATTTTGAAATCCTTAATAATTTAATCTCTGGACTCTCGCTGGTGGAAGTAAAATGTGACAGGACAGCCCGACCACATGATGTGCGGCCACATGATGTGCGGCCACGGATGTGGAGTGACATGTGGAGTGACAGGGCTTCTTGCTCACTGCTGGTGGGAAGGCAAGATGGTGCACACCCTTTGCAAGACAGTTGGGCGAGTTCTTGTAAAACTAAACACGCTCTTACCATCTGGTCCAGTGTTTGTGCTCCCTGGTAGTTGCCCCAAGGAACTGGAAGCTCATGTCCTCACAGACACCTGCTCGTGGGTGATTCTAGCAGCTTTCTTCATAATCGCCAAAACTGGAAAATAACCATGACATCCTTAGCAAGTGAATACTACTCTTATTATTACAGTACTCAGCACTAAGAAGAAACAAGCTGTCAAGCCCTGAAAAGACATGGAAGAAACTTAAATGCATGTCACTAAGGCAGAGAAGCCAGTCTGAGAAGCCTACATCCTGTTTGAGCCCAGCTGCATGCCATTCTGAAACAGACAAAGCTAGAGGACATTGAAAACAGTAAGGGTTGGGGCGCCTAGGCGGCTCAGTCGGTTGAGCGTCCGACTTCGGCTCAGGTCATGATCTTGCGGTTCATGAGTTTGAGCCCCACGTTGGGCTCTGTGCTGACAGCTCAGAGCCTGGAACCTGCTTCAGACTATCTGTCTCCCTCTCTCTCCACCCCTCCCCTGCTTATGTTCTCTCTCTCTCTCTCTCTCTCTCTCTCTCTCTCTCTCTCTCAGAAATAAATAAACATTAAAAATTTGAAAAAAAAGTAATGGTTTCCAAGGGTTGGGGTAAGAAGGGATGAATAGGTAGACTACAGAGGATCTTTAGGGCAGTGACATTATTCTGTACGACACTACAATAGCAGGTGCATGTCATTACACATTTGCCTAATCCCACAGAACACATAACATCAAGAGAGAATGCTAACGCTGTGGACTTTGGGTGAGTATAGCATGTCCGTGTAGGTCCATCAATTGTAACAAATGTACTACTCCAGTGTGGGATGTTGATAAGGGGGGATGCTCTGCATGTGAGGGGGCAGGTGTGACTGCTCTAAAAAAAAAGCAAAGTATTTTTTAAAAAATCTGATGGACACTGAAGCATCTATGTGAGCAGAGAAGACACGTCAATGCACACGCCCCCTGCCCATTGCCGTCCCTTTAGCACATCATATTCGTGATGCCCCACAGGCAGATAATTCTAGAGGACCAGCAACCCTCAAAGTGAATGCAAGATGTGTGTGTGGTATCTACAATGGAGCTTGTAGGGCCACTGACAGCCCTGAGAAGTCATGCTTTCTATTAAATTGGAAATCGCTCCCAATGCAGAAAGAAGGCAACACATTCTCGAAAACACGAACAACAAAAGAACTCTATCTTGTCCTTTCTTACTCATGTTGTCTCCTGTTACTAGCCAGTGTACTGGAAATGAAGTCACAGAAAGGGAGACAGAGAGCAATCCACAGCTTCTTTTCCTTTTAACCCTTCCTTACTCATCACTAAACTGAAGGTAGAGAATGTTGGTAGCATGTACAAGTATCTAGAAGTGAAATAAAAACCACTGAGTACGTGGCATTTACTTTTAGTAAGAACAAAACACAGCAATCCCTATCAAAATAACACCAGCATTCTTCACAGAGCTAGGACAAACAATCCTAAAATTTATATGGAACCAGGAAGACCCCGAATAGCCATAGCAATCCTGAAAAAGAAAACCAAAGCAGGAGGATCACAATCCAGGACTTCAAGCTATCCTGCAAAGCTGTAATCATCAAGACAGTACGGCACTGGCACAAGAACAGACTCTCAGATCAGTGGAACCGAACAGAGAACCCAGAAATGGACCCACAAACATATGGCCAACTCATCGTTGACAAAGCAGGTGAGAATATCCAATGGAATAAAGACAAACTGTTCAGCAAGTGGTGCTGGGAAAACTGGGCAGCGACATGCAGAAGAATGAACCTGGACCACATTCTTACACCCACACAAAAATAAACTCAAAGTGGATGAAAGACCTAAACATAAGACAGGAAGCAATCAAAATCCTAGAGGAGAGAGCAGGCAAAAACCTCTTTGACTTCGGCCACAGCAACTTCTTACTCAACACGTCTCCGGAGGCAAGGGAAACAAAAGCAAAAATAAACTACGGGACCTCATCAAAATAAAAACCTTCTGCACAGCGAAGGAAACAATCGGCAAAACTAAAAGGCAACCAACAGAATGGGAGAAGATATTTGCAAACAGCATAGCAGATAAAGGGATAGTATCCAAAATCTATAAAGAACTTAGCAAACTCAACACCCAAAAAACAAATAACCCAGTGAAGAAATGGGCAAAAAACACGAATAGACACTTCTCCAAAGAAGACATCCAGATGGGCAACCGACACATGAAAAAAAAATGCTCAACATCACTTATCATCATGGAAATACAAGTCAAAACCACAATGAGATACCACCTCCCACCTACCAGAATGGCTAACATGAACAACTCAGGCAACAACAGATATTGGCGAGGATGCGGAGAAAGAGGATCTCTTTTGCACTGCTGGTGGGAATGCAAGCTGGTGCAGCCGCTCTGGAAAACAGTATGGAGGTTCCTCAAAAAACTAAAAATGGAACTACCCTACGACCCAGCAATTGCACTACTAGGCATGTATCCAGGGGTTCAGATGTGCTGTCTCAAAGGGGCACATGCACCCCCATGTTTATAGCAGCATGATCAACAGTAGCCAAAGTATGGAAAGAGCCCAAATGTCCATTGACTGCTGAATGGATAAAGAAGATGTCGTATTTGTATACAATGGAATGTTACTTGAGCCTGAGTGGCTCAAATCCCTAAAGAGTAAAATCCATCCTCCATGGCAGTCACTGTCACAACTGTTAAGAGTGAGCCGGTAAAATCAAGAAGCGCTTGTCGAGCGCCCACCCCGTGGCAGGAAGATGGCCATCTCGTTTTGCAGAGTGCTAGGAGTGGGGGATGCAAAGACAACCACAACGCTGCTCACAGCCAAGGGGGGGCAGCAGAGACAGGGGGCAAACTGGCTGCTCCCGTCACATAGCCGGTCAGTCAGTGTTGCGATCTGAACCCAAGCTCTTGAGCCCCCCGGGCCAGACGGCCTCTGTGATTTCGTTGGCACAGCCTGTGTGTGCGTGACAAATGCTTAATAATTAGATTTATGACATTCCAGATTTAAAGATAGAGCGCTGAGCTAGAATCCTGTTTCCAGCCCTCACTGTGGTGAATCCGATTGTGAATTCAGTATCTGTTTCAATAGTATGTTTGTCCCTTAAATGTTGCTTTCTGAAAGGGGCTTTCTCTGGCTCTCCCTGCTTCTCTCTCTTAGCAGCCTTGGCTTTGTTTCATAATGAGGATCACACTCTGTAATTCTATGTTTATTTGTAGGACTCTGTGTTCAATTACAGTGAGCCCAGGGAGGGCGGGGACAGGGTTTCTTTTCTTCTGCATTCTTAACCCAGGCCTATATATAGCCTAGTGTTCAACAAGTATTCACGATGAGTACTTAGATGAGCATGTTAATGAATAAAGCCACAATAATTACTAGTTTGCATTTCTCCTGAATGTTTTCTCAAGAACGCCGAATAGTATTTACCATGTTTCTCTTTTTGCATTGGCTGTTAGGAAGCTCAAAGCCATATCTGTGAAGCCATCGCAGCAAGTCTGTAAATCCGCGTGCATATTTATTTACCATCCTGGTTCCTCTGACGAACCCACTCTTATTTTCCTATCTTCATTTGCTATTTTTAACTTACGCTCCCATACTGGGCTTCATGTGTCCTTGTGAGGAGCTTTAATAGATATCATTGTGGAAATGAAATACATTAAGCAGGCTGTCTTAAATTTCTAACCTGCGGAGAAAAAGAAACGCCCTTTCCAATGCCACATGCTGTCTTCAGAGCCATCAGCCACTCTTAGATTACCTGCTTTCCCGTGTCCTATGCCCTCTGGGAGTGATGTTTGGGGGGCGGTGGGTGAGATGCTATTTCCTTCCAATTAGGCTGGTGAGGTGGCGTTGCAGGTGGTGTTCTAGAATAAATGAAGGTGAAAGGCAGACAGAACTGCAAAGCCTTATACAACGTGTTTTCCCTGCTCTGACGTGGCCCGTGGTTACCAGGGAAGGGAGTTAGTGACCCGGGTCGACGTGAGCAGCTGCAGTGGGTGAGGGGCCCGGGCAGGATGCTTGCAGTGCCCTGCAGGCATTAGTTCGAGAGGAATCAGGTGCTGGGTTTTTATTGGCGAGGCGAGAACAGCCCCCGGATCCAGGAAGAGAACCTGCTTCTCTAGGCCGATCAGATCACCGGAGAGGAGGGCCCCACCCGGACTTGTGTGTTTGCCCTGCTATGTGTATTCAGCCAGCAGGCTCCGGACCAGGAGGCAAAGGGCAGGGAGCCGGGCTCAGTTGACCACCTGGCACCAGGCAGCACCAGTTGGAGACAAGGCGCGCTGAGCTTCTAGAAGCATCTCCAGGTGACACCAGGGGACTGAAGACACTCCCACCGGGGACTCGACAGGTAACGGCTTCCAGGTCCTTCCAGCAGGGCATGGGGCTCGTTGTTTGGGGCAGGCAGTGAAATGTAGAAGCTGGGCGTCAGAGAGGATTGAGTTTCACCCCAGCTCTGCCACTGATTCCCTGTGCGGGCTTGGGTATGCTTGAGCCTCAGTTTCACCTTCTGCGAAATGGACCCAAAGATAGCCTTACCTCAAGGGGTTCTAGAAGGATTAGATGACAATGTAGGCGGTGTCAGGTACGAAGCAATAGCTCCACTTTGCGTGGAACGATTGAGGGCCATTTCGAGTGTAAGACTTGGGGCAAAAAACCAGCGAACGGAGGGGTATGCTATGTGATTCGGGGACCACTGGCAGGACAAGAGTCCCCCCCCCCCCGCCCCGGTAAAGCTGGCTTTGAGTCTGTGCCAAGGGGCATTGTCTAAGGAAGTGGAGCAGACGGGGAGAAGGACTCCTTGTGTGAACCTGGCTCTTTACATGAATTGTGTTATTTAACATTCGGAACGGTCCTTCGAGGTAAATGCCGGATTCAAATCCCAGCTGTCGGACTCCAACAGTCGGCATTACTCTGTGCAGCTCCTTTCTGCCTCGGGTGCCCTGGGGCAGCTTACTTACCTCTCTGGGCTTCATTTCCTCATCTGTAAAATGGGCACAATCATATTACCGCGATCCAAGCGAACTTTGTGAGGGCTGAGACTGATTTCACGGACACTTACGCGCTTGAAATCAACTCTGGCTCTCACTTCTGCTGCCATCATCGTCTTGATTTTACAATTCGGGAGACGAGGGAGGGACCTCTTCCCAGGTCTCACCGAACGGAACTGAGACCCAAGCCGTTCGGGATTTGAGTGAGGCACTCGCATGGGTGCAGAATTTAAGAGACACCAAAACTCTCAGTCATCAGGATAAATTCCGCTTTAAAGCACTATTTAAAATTGTCTTAAATTCACGCCAAAGCACCCACGGTGAACAAAACAACAGCATGTTAAGTAAAGATAGGATCAGTAATGGCATCGTTGCGGTTATTTAAACGCTGTGATGTCAGGTCCTCCTCGGGAGGAGGCTTTTTTCCCAAGATTTCTCAAACTTGGGAAGGGCTGTCTTTTTCCCAAGAAGGCATGTGCTTCTGGAAAGCAAGCATCCTGGCTGGTTTCCCACGACGGCGGGTGCTCACGGGGAGGGAGAGAAAGCGGCCCGGGAGGGCCGAGGACCCTGCTCCACGCAGGCTCATCTGTCTCACCAGAGTGACACGTTTGCTGATCGCAGCACTGTTGGCGGCTTCTGTCACCTCTGTGCAGCAGCGCTGGGCGAGGTAAAGGACGTGAGGAGCCCGAGTCACTGGAACCAGGTTTGCCCCCAGCTCTGCCTCTTTGCAGCTCGGGGGGGGGGGGGGGGGAGGGGGGAGGGAGGGTGTCATGACTCCTCTTACGCATTTAATCACCAGCGCCAATTAAAGACGGGCAGGACAAGGAGGCACCTGCCCTCGTGGAGTTTGCATTCTAGGCGGCAGGGGACTGCATCACGGAGCCTCAGTCTCTCCATCTCTGTAATGGAGGAGTGATGGGATGCTTCGAGGAAAAACAGACACAATAGAAGGAAAGGTCCTGGCCCTAGGACCAGGACTAGCGGGAAGCAAGCGAGGCACCCGGGGGCAAAATCCAGGGCGGGTGCTCATTCCCGAGTGCGGATTCTGCACCTGCCCAGACCTCCCATGCCTCCTTGCATTTGGCACCTGTGTGCCTCCCTTGCCTTACCCTAATCCTGGCCCTGCCTGGCTCCGAGTAAGCCTTCAGATGATGCTACCTGCTACGCTATTAGCTTAAAGATGTCTGCTGCAACACTAAGAAGAAGATAGTAAGCTCTAAGCCTTCCGGAACATCAACCATTTGTACAAACGTAACTGAGTGTTCTGACAGGAAGATGTCAATTGCCAAGCATTCCTGAAACCCCCAGTGCAGTTTTGATAAAGGCACGTCTCCCCCTGCGCCCACGTGGTCCCATACTGGAGAACGGGGCTTGGGGAGCACAGCGAAGGCTGACTTTCAGTCCTCACGTGCTCCCCTGTGACGTAGGCAGCCTGTACCACTGCACATGGACGCCCTCAGAGTATCTTCCCTTCCCAGCACTGTGCTGGGGACCACAGGGAGATGCAGGGTCACGGCACCTGGCCGAGCAGGTCTGGTCTCTTTACTCATATCGATCTCGCCCTCGGAGGTGGGGGCCTGAAGGCTTGTCCCGCTGGGTGTGCCAGATGGCTGTGAGGGCCCTGCCCTCGCCGGGGCAGTGAGGAGGCCCCACCTCCTTGCCTGCATTCCATGGCATTGATCAAAGGTGTTTCTGCTTACTTGGTGACTAATTCTGCCCTAATTCGAGGACCTGCCCTTTCCACCTGACTGTCATTTAGCTGCTCGCTGGCCGGGCGGCTTCAGAAATGCTCTCTCCGGGGCAGCTGCACTGTGTTTCGTGTTTAACCCGTTCCCCAGAGCAGGACTTGTTAACCTGTAACTAACATGAGGTGATGCGAACACCAGTCGTTGGTGTGAAAGGCGAGGGAGGCGTCCAGGGGCAGCTTCCGGTGTGGCTGTTTCACGCGTGGGTCAGAACACAGAGCCAATGGGATCGTAACATTAATAAGAGAAATAAATAGAGGGCGCCGGGGTGGCTCAGTCAATTAAGCATCTGACTTCAGCTCAGGTCGTGATCTCTCAGAGCCTGGATCCTGCTTCGGGTTCCGTGTCTCCCTCTCACTCTGCCCCTGCCCTGCTCGCACTCTGGGTGTGTGTGTCTCTATCTCTCTCAAAAGTGAATAAACAGTTAAAAATTAAAAAAGAGAGAGAGAGAGAGAGAGAAATAAATAGTATCAGTAAGGACTAACATTTTCTCACCTGACTACTGCCAAGCCCTTGTGCTAAATCTCTGCACAAAGATACTTGATGACCCTTCAATTTTGCATTCGTCCTAAATATGCCTTGACTTTAGAGCAGACCACATTCCTTGACCAGTTATGATTTTGATGTCTTGTCGCAAAAACAGATAGGTGATATTTCATATTCTGTGTTGTATTACGTTGCATATAAATATTTAATGAGATAAAAGCATAACTTCTAAGGCAGAGGACACAGTAGAAGGTGAGAAATAGGCAGTTAAGAGTTTGAACTGTGGTACCAGGCTACCGAGGGGTAAAGCCTGCTTCAGCCCCTTACCAGCACGTAATCTGTATGAGTCAGCTCGTGCTGCCGTAACAAAAATGCCATTCGCACAGTTCCAGAGGCTAGAAGTCCATGATGAAGGTCCTGGCAGACTCTGGTTCTGGTGGGAACTCTCTCCTTGGCTCTCTCGCGCCACCGTCCTCTCGCCGTGTCCTCGCACGGTGGAGAGAGCGCACGCTCTCTCTCGGTGTCTGCTGTTCCGAGGACACTAATCCTCTGAGTTCGGGGCCCCGCCCCACTAACCTCCTCCGACCTTAATTGCTTCCTCAGAGACCCCATCTCCAAACACAGACCCAGGGGGAGTCAGGGCCTCGCCATGTGACTTTGGAGGGGGCAACAGTTCAGGCCATAGCATGATCGTGGGCAAGGAAGGTGTGCATGAAGGTTCTGCGTCCATAAAATGGGACAATGGAAACACCGGCCTGCCCACCTCAGGGGTTCTATTTCAGACGTGATACGTCAATATAGGAAAACACTCAGAGCTGTGTTCAGCGTAGAGTAGGGACCGGAGAAGTATGAGGTGTCATTTTTACAAAGACACAGCACACTTTATTTGCCCCATATAATAATGGCTGATCTTCAGTCCCTAAAGGGTATACACCAGCCGCTGGGCTAACCACCATGTGGACTGAACCCTTTTTATCTTCGCCTGAGAGTGAGGAGGACGAATGTGTCACGATCTTTCCTCCCCCCCCTCACCCCTACAGAGCAGGAGCTAAGGCAGACAGCTGGCGTGAGTCGGGTCGTGAACGCAGGACAGAGCGTTTACCGTCTCACCATTGGGACTAAGGTCGGCAGGGACACTGGGCCACAAGCAAGAGGAGAAGGCTAAGTCCCCCCGCCAGAGGGGGATGCCTCATCCTCCACACTGGTGACATTTGGGGCCAGACCACTCTCTGCTGGGGGCCATCCTGTGCTCCACAGGATGGTCAGCAACATCTCTGGTCTCCACCCCCTGGGCGCCAGTAGCAGCCCCGCCCTCGCCGCCACCCTGAGCTGTGACCTGGAGGGCAGCACAGCCCCCCCCGTTCTAGAAACACTGCTCACCAGTTATTCTGAGAAACTAAGAGAAGCCTATTTCTAAAGCGAACCTTTGCATGTAACCAAGACGTCTCAGCAGCTCCAATATACGAAATATAAACATAGAGTCCTGGGAATTAGGACCAAACACCCCAGCCCTTGGGTATGTACGTACCTCTCCCTCTCTCCCCTCGTCGGGTGCCTGCTCCGTGCCGGGCACACGTCTCCCTCATCGAACCTTCCCCGCAAAACTGGGGAGAGCAAGGGCTGCTGGGGGAAGTGCCACAGCCTCTCTGTCCTCAGTTTCTCAGCGGAAGATTGAGGGCAGAATAGCGTCCAACCCAGAGGGCTGTTGCAGGGACCCAGGGAGTCAATACACACAGATTGGGAGTGCGAGGCGCATGGAAAACTCTCCAAGCTTGGGGCGCCTGGGTGGCTCCGTCGGTGGAGCGTCCGACTTTGGCTCAGGTCATGATCTTGCGGTCCG